AGCAGCTAGCATCTTAGCGGGAGTCAAGAAAGACCGTAGGTTCTTGGAACCGACCAGACGGAGCCTTTCGTACTGGCAGAGAATAGCTGCATCCACCCTTGGGGAGGCATCCTGAACGGGGTAGGTGTTCCACCGATTAGGGAAAGGAAGCGGCGACCCCACGTGTACGAACACAAATCGTTCCTCCCATTTCTCCGGCGGGGGTGGGGTTGTCGGTGAAGAGCGAACGGCCAGGACGGGCTACAAGCCGCAGGTACCCGGTGGTCCAATAGGGCTGGACGCCATAGCAGTGCAAAAAGAGATCGGCGCTAGGGGCAATCCCCAACTCGTGGCACCAGACAATGAACCCATTCAGGATCCTGTAGGTGCTAGGCACGAACTGTGCCGGCAGTACTGACACCCGGCGGAGGAACTCCACAACGAACGGGTGCAGAGGGAACCGCAAACCGGCAATCAGGGCGTCCATATGGACCAACACACATCCCGGACGGTGTCGCATGGGATGTTTGATGAACCCCGCATTGAACTGACGAGGTGGAGGTAGTAATTGGCGGAGCGTCTGTTCTGCATCCGCAGGAAGGCGTTGACGTTGCTTCCTAATGCAGTGAAAGTTCAGACTATAACGGGGGGGGGGGGGGGGGGGGGCGTTCAGGCATGCCCTTATTATAGGTGGCTAGGTCATCTCCCGACTGACATCCATCATCAGGGAGGGGCTGTTCGGGATGAAGGGAGGAAGAAGACCCGTTAGAACCCGACGATCGGGTAGATGTACCTTGATCTTTGGGGTGAGCTTTTCCCCTCGAATGGCGAATCAAAGTGGGTGCCATCTCTTCGGAGTCTGACGAACCAGAAAAGGCAGACATAAAATAACGGAGAAGATTCTAGAGAGAGAAAGCTTGAAGGAATTCAGAAGCAGCAGAAAAAACTGAAACAAAGTAGCTGCATCCTTATATAAGGAAATGATACCGCCAGGAATTCAAATGAATAACAGACACGTGTCAAGACGGTTGGGAGAAGTTAAGGCACCCTTTGGGGAGAGTGAACACCCGAACGGGGTTGAAATCAACAAAGTTCACGAACCTCTAGGAGAAAAAAGAAAAGGGCTACAAGCGTTTCCCCGAACGGGATAAAAGAAAAGGGCTACAAGCGTTTCCCCGAACAGGAAGGAAAGATGCACCATACCCGGACAGTATGGTTATCTAACATGGAAAAATCTGGCAGATGCAACGAAGAAGGTAGCACTACATCCCGAATGCTGAACACAATTACTAACTAGTTAAAAGGGAAACCTGCGAACATGATCGATGAGGAAAGTACAGGAGTTTATACCCCGAACAGATGAAAAAAAAAAACACAAACAGCTGGCATCATGAATGCAGACTGAACGGGTTCATTATGAATATTATGTCGAATAGACAACTCGATCAATAAAGAAACAGCATGTGTTAATGAGATTATTAAGTCCTAAATTCTGGACTTAACGAAGAGGTGACTCGAACAGGCAAACCTGATCGCCATAAATTATGGAGGCAAGTTGAAACAGGAACAAAGCACATGAAACGTATTACGAAGGCGAATTGATGAGTAAGAAACAAGTATCAAGTACGGTAAAAGGAAGGTACAAAGACAGAATGAGCAAACAAAAGTTGTGTATTCATCGGCTCTACTGGCCGGAAAGTACAAAAAATACTGATTCAAAGGAAAGAAAGTACAGATCATGTCTAATCTACTGTTCGGGATGATCTTCACCCTCTTCATCATCGTCTTCATCAACTCCCTCATCAACAACCTGCACGACCTCCATCCCCAGGGCTCGCCGGCACTTTTTCATCTGTGCCATCAGGGCGTTCAGATGACCCGGATGGAGGTCAGAAGGGAAGTCAGAGGACTGCACCGAACGGCCCATATGTTTTTCTAGGAGGGGGAGGAGAGGCTGGAGCATATGTTGGCAGCCTGAGCTGTAGACTCCCCGGGCAAGATTGTCGGCCCACTCCTTGGTGACAGGATGCTGATCAAGCACCCTGATCCCCTCCTTCTGGCGCTCTTCTCCGGCCAGTTTCTCCAGATGCCTCCCGAAGACAGCAGGGAGCTGTTCGGTGGCATATTCTTCCTTGAGAGCCAGAAACTCCTCGGAAGCTTTGAATGAATCCCGAACGGCAGAAAGATCAACTATCATTTCAGCAGGGCCATCCGGGATTTGGGGAGGGGCTTCAGAAAACTTGACCTGAGCGGCCTCAGCTGCCGCGATCTTGGCTTGGAGAGAGCCCACTTTGACACGAAGCTCCCCAGCCTCAGCTTCCAGCTTCCTCCGCTCCTCGGCAAAAGCCCGCCGTTCGGCCTCTGCTGCCTGTTCAGCCGTTTCCTTGGCCATCAGCAGACCTTGTTCCTTGGCCTGCCTGGCCTCTCTGAGTTTCAGGCTGTAGATCCCTACCTATTGATCGAATACAAATAAGAAATGAGGACCTGGTAAGTTATTGAACAACCGAAAAAAGAGGGATGTGATAAGAAATTACCTTCAGGGCAGCCAAGGCAATACACTCCTCGGCCTCCTCGACCGGTATCGGGGGAAGGTTATGCCCATTGAGAAAGCCCGATGTGGACCAAATCTGGCTCGCTGGGCAGCCTCCCCTTTCCAGCATTCCATGAGCAGGATCTTGGAGGGAGATCTGCTCAAACTGGCTCGCCAAATCAGCCTGGTTGGCAGCCACTTCCTCAGCGGAAAAGTGGTGAGACTGCTGATCAGAGAAGAGCTGATCCATCAGCATATCAGCATGTGAAGATTTCTGATCAGGGTTAACCTGCTGGACAGGCTCTACATCCCGGACAGGCTCAGGGTGTAGGGGGGCGGATTGGGAGGATGTCCCCTGATCGGCCTTCCTCAACCTCTTCCTCTTTGTCTTCCTCTGCTGCTTGGGAGGAGAGGTTGGTGGCTCATCATCGAATCCAACAGTGAATAGCCTGCTATCATCCATGGCCGGTTGTTCGGGATTGGCTCCTTCGGATTCTGAGGATTCGCCTTGTTTTGGAGCTGAAAATAAAACGAAAGGAGAAAGTCAGTACCGAGCGGTTCGCACGTGGATGAACAAAAGTATATCACACGGGAAGGACCGCCCGGGCCATGGTACTTGGTTTTCAGTCAAGTAAGTCCAGGAGTACGGGCAGTACCTATCCCGGCCTTGATTAGCCGTTCGGAAGTTAGGTAGGACATAATCTTGAAGCAACTGCCTGCCTCCACAGCAATGACATCTTTGCTGAGCTCCTCGGAGATGAAAGGCTCGGGGGATCTAGGAGGAAATGCATTCCACTTCCTAGGAATGAGGCCATTCGGGACGGAAACGAAGAAAAACCTATCTTTCCAACCCTTAATAGAAGAAGGGGCGTCGCAGAACAAGATGTGTCCTGTTCGGGAACTTACCACCAGAAAGCCATGGGACTGCTGCGGAATAACTGAAAAGAAATAGTGGAAAAGCTCTAGGGTGGGTGTGACCTGGACGCTATGACAACGGCAAATGAAACCAGCTATGGACCGATAGGAGTTCGGCATTATTTGGGCTGGTACTACGTTATAGAAATTAAGTAAGGAAACAAAGAAGGGGTGGAGTGGGAATCTTAGGCCGGCCTTGACCGAATCGAAGTGGACCACTACCATCCCAGAAAGGTGACGCATTGGGTGAAGCCCAGCCTGGAATCGGAAATCCACCGAATGAGGGATCATCATTTGAATTTGGGCCCTATTTTGGGCCGTGAGTTTTTGGCGCCTAAATCTAATTAGGGCTAGGTCAAGTTTATGACATGAAACGCCATTTGGGGGACCAGCTTCCATGATCTCCAGTTCGTCCTCAGAATGAGTACCGTCAGGATACATCCGGGGAAGGGGAGCATCTTCATTAATAACCGCTGGGATGGGGGCAATTTCTCCGGTGACAATAGGATTATCATCTAGAAGGTCAACATGTGAAGAAGAGGTTTCGGAGGAACGATGGGGGGCCATAGTGACCGAACAAGGAGTATAGGAATGAGATAAAGGCCAGAAAATACCTGAACAAGAACTAAGAAGTAGCTCTAGAGAGAAGGATGAGTTCTAAGCCGGAGATGCGAAGTTTCGAAACCCAGAATCAAAACCAGAAGAGCCTACTTATACTCTGTCACGCCGAATCAACAGCCAACCAGAGAAGGACACGTTTCATATAATGATGACGGATACACGTGTCACGCGGAGAATCCTTCTCAAGAAATCATGACGTTTATCGGGGAAGTGAAACGGCAGTTGCAAATAACCGTCAAAATATGCCTCGGGAACCGGCGGAATGCCATCCGATACTCATCCGAACAGCATTCGGGCAATAATCTTCTACTTCCTTATGCACTCACTACCGTTCGAGACATAGGAAGTGGGGGACTAGTGTTGGGATATCAGGTCCAGGCCCAATATCCCTAGGCCCAAATCCGGGAAGAAGCAGCGGGCCCAAGGCAGTCCAAAGAATTCTCGAACAGCATTCGGGGTAGAACTTATACTTGGAACATTCCGGGAAACAATTATGCCAAAGTAACAAGGGCCAGATACCGATCGGCGTTCTGGATACTTCCATTACAAGATAACACCTATTGCGGGGTCCCACACACCGAACACCTTGCCCGAACGGGCGGTCAGCAAGTGGAGGCCGCATTTAATACTGGATCATGGCGGCTGCAAGTGGGGGCATGAGTGCCTACATGGCAGAGGTGACAGCCTACCAGATTCGGCCACGTGTCCACCTTACCCATCCCCATTTTAGTATAAATACCCATGTTTAGATCATTGTAAAGGGTTAGCATTTTAATACTCAGAGCTTAGCAATAGATTTATATCTCCTATCCTTGTATTCTCATTATCATCTACCGTTCGTGTAATTTCCGGTGTAATTGCCTAATCATTGAATACCAGTAAGCTCCTGAGTTGAATAATATCTCACTATTTTATATTTTATACACTTTTCAGTCCAATCCAATATCCCTATAATATCCAAAGTTTGTGTTGGGCTTTCGGATCTTCGGGAACAAACCTCAACAATTATAAACAAATCATGTACTTATTGAATAATTTGAGGATAAGCTAAACTTTTATCATGTTTATTAAGCTTATTGATCACACAAATCAAACTGTGTAGAGCTGAACCTGAACCACATGCGTAAAGGTTGTCGAGCGCAGCTTCAAGCTCGAACTCAAACAAACCTGATATCAAGAACACAAGATACTTTGGGCTCGGTTCGGCTCGTTAACCGCCTTATTTCTGCCCTAACATACAATTATTATACTTGGTTTATATACAAAAAGAAACTAAAACTCTAAATTAAGGGAAAACATTTCTTCTTTACGGTTTAAGAGAGCCCTAATAATCAGAGCAAACCGAACATCTAATTAGCCCATTTTCATTACAGTCCGGACACCTCTCAAACCCAGACCCCTCCACATTCCCATTCCCACATTCACAAAAAACTTTACAGCTCCCCTTACACGTGTCACACGGCACAAACCTTATATTTCCACACGCCTCGCAACCGCCGTCGCCGCCGCCTTCTTCCACCTTTTCGCAACACTCAAATCGCTTCTCCAGCGTCCCTTCCTCCTGCATTCGCCGGATTTCATTCTCTCCGCCGATGTGTTTCTTGCCGATAAATACTCTGGGCAAGCTGTAATCTTCCCCAAACATCTCTTTCAGTTCTTCTTTGAAACCGGAATGCATAGATACGTCTCGGTCTTCGATTTTCAATTTCAGTTCCTGTAGAATGGATCTAACGTTACAGCAATCCTCGTACGTCTTCCGAACTCCTCTTATGCTCGTGAAGTAGAAGATGACCCTGTTTTTATTATGCTCTGTTTCTATTTTAGCTTCCCCTGTTTTTGCTTTATCTCCGGTGCCCGCCGGCGGAAGCTCTGAGAGGGCTTTCCGGAACGATTCGATAACGGCGGGATCAAACTCCGATAAGAATCCGACGGATGTGTCGTTTGAGCCCAAGGTCGAAATAGATTCCGACCAGTGATTGGTAGAAGCAGGGGAGGAGAAACTGCGGACGAGACGGGCGCAATCTTCTAGGTCCTTCATCAATTCCCAGACGTCGATGGTCTCCGGCTCGCCGCCGGTAGATATCTCCGGAAGCTTGTTTTCGGTTGGGAGTTTTTCGCCGCCGTCCGCTGCAGCACGGAGAACCGGACTCTTATTTAATGGGTCGAGCAGAATCGACCCAAGGGTGGAGGAAGTGAGAGCAACCACGTGGTGGGGGTGGCTCTCCGCCTTTCTCCGCGGCGGCCGTTCGGAGTCCAAACTCCGCCGGCCCGGCGAGAAAGGTGCGTGGCAATTCTCGCACACTACATTTCGCTTCGAATTGGCACAGCCCATTACGCCAGAAACGGTTTAACTTAATCAAAGGAAATCAAATGCAATCAAAGGAAAGAAAAACAGGTAAAGATCGGATTTTTAAAACATTCCCACACGAGAACAGGACTCGCGAAGATTAAGGAAATTCAAAATGAGAAAATTGAGAAAATTAAGAAAAAGAACAGGGATTTATTTATTATAGTGATGACAGTAGGATTCTTCAATCATCAAACCCCTACATGCAGTTTCCAAAACAGAAAATTCATACTCAGTAATTAACGAGACAGTGAGAGACACCCATTTTCTCTCCTGCGCATTTAATGATATTTATGAGTGAAGAAATTGAAAACTCGGATTGATCGGAGGGTGGGATGGGAGGGGCATTAAAAAGGGGTAAGATCGATCAAGAGGGGCTTGCAAAGAGAGGAATCCTCCGATCATCTTACCGGCAGAGAGTAGAATAAAAGTGGAAAGACAAGGGAGAAGGGACAATATGCCAGAAGATTTGAAAAGGATTGAGAGGAAAGGAAGAAGATGAGAGGAATGGGTACAAAGCCCATTTGAGGGCATATGGATTGGCCTCACGTATTTGGTCTTATGTTTAGATGGATTTGGGTTTCAGGAATGAGTTAAGGAATGGCTGAACTGTCCGCTAAAGAGTCCAATCAGTCCATCAACAGGAAGTCAGGAACTACATTTTTTTAATAAGGTGACAATCATTAGGGGAAGTTGGTAATACCAAATGAAGATTCCACCCCTAGCTCAATCGATTCATAAGGAGTTGGATCATGTTGGTTAAATATATTTTCTAAACATTTTGCATACATCGTTAGATTTGGGTCTACAAGATAATTTCTGAACGAATTGTCTACGCAGACAGACAATTAGGGAGTGTACACAAAATGTGTATAAAATATGTGTACCAGCAATGTTTGTGTAAAAAGTTTTAATAACTAATTAGTTTTACAAGTGTCAACCTTATATAGTTGGATTTAAATTCTAATAAGTGTAAATGACAAATGATATTTTTTTGAAAGAAATGACAAATGAATTTAATAAATACTACATCCATCTAATAAAGTTGATTTGCAAAATCAACTTTTTCTAATCAAATAGTTTTATTTTATTCACTTAATTGTGATATCAATTTTAATCATATTCTAATTCGGACTTTGCAATCTTATAGAAGATTTGATGTAATGTCTAAGTATGTAAATTTAAATTATTAAATTGAAATACTTATCAATAGAGAAGATTTCACTTTAAGTTTGTGAAACAAAAAAATGCAAATCAATTTGTGACGAGTAGAGTAATTATTGTGTGTAGCCTATGATTGATTAAAAACACTTATATGTGTTTATGTGTTTATAATTTGGAAAATTACACTAACATACTCTAGAGTGTTTCGATTTCAAATGTAATGAGGTAGATATCATTATATTATCCCCTTGATGTACTATTATCTTTTATCTATCAATCAAATGCACAGAGATGCATTTAAAAATTCATATGGAGCATGTATAAATGACTCAAGGTATAAGTTTAAATTACCACATCAATATAAAATCTCATATGGACGAATTTTATTAAAGTTTTTTTTCCCTTAAATATTACTAATAAAAATGTCATGAACAAAAATGTGACTTACTAACTATTAGTGATTATTGTTTCCAAAATTCACATTACAATAACTTACATTTAGTTACTACGGTGTAAATTTTGAACACAATTTCAGTCACTAATAGTTATTGAGTAATATTTTGTCAATCACATTTTGAAGAGTAATATTTATGAGAAGTTTTCTTTTATTAATAGTAATTAAAATGTTAAATCTTAATTAAGCCTACACAAATATTTATAAGACAAAGGGGAATGGATAAATCCATTAAGTAGGGAAGTAGGGAAGGTTCATATTTCCATCGCACTAGGCAACCACAAGATTAAATCCACATGGGATCTCTCTTGTAGTAAGTGTCTTGTTCTTTGTAAGTTATCAATTGTATGTATACCTTTACCTTTCACCAAGGCTATCATGTTTGACTCTTTCATTTTGAATTTTGTCCAACATTCATATTACTACAGTTATTTTTAGAAACCTCTTTATTCAAAAAGCTTTAGCACCAACTGAGAAGCCTTTTGAGTGATTCTATTCTATACTTCTTCATTAGTAATTTAGTATACCTAATACCTATTACATGACAGAAATATCGATGGGGATCATGTCGGTCTAACTTAATTTTGAGCTAAAAGTTGAGTTTAATGGTCCAAGTTTTGTAGTCATTAGCATTAAATATTAATTTCAACCATTGGATCATCAGAAAAATTAAATTCTAACAAGTTTAATTCCACTTTTTATGACGAAATAATCTTAACCATTAGATAAGTATTAGAAGTAAAAAGTGTGTTTAAAGGGTTAATAACAGAACAAATATAGGATCTAAGCAGCGAAAATAGTACTTAGTTAATATTAATGAGTGAAAAAATTGGATCATCATCTCTAATTTTGGTTTAAAATGATTGTGGACTAAGTGAAATTCTTGTAAGCCCGCACCGATGAGAATAAGACTACTTAATGAAAAAATGAATAGAATAACCACATACTAAGTACATACACTGATACACTCTTATAAAAACTCTTACAAAAGAGATATGTGACAACATTATATTGTTTCATATATCACATCACTTTACATTAGAATAGTCACATCACTTGTTTGTAAGTTTTTTGTAAGTTGTTTGTACTTATATAGCATTTTCCATGAAAAATTAATAGTTACTCCTTAATTAATTTTACATACTTTTCTAGTTCTCTTATGTACTTTTCACATAAAAACTTTAGAAGCAACGCGCAAATCGTATAACTGTCAGAGTACAGTCGCTAATCCATAGGATATTCAGCGACGGAAAAAGCCGTCATGTAAGGTGGTTGCATTTCTGTCTAGGGGTGAGCAGAAACCGAACCCACCCGAAAACCCGATCGGGTTTGCTCTCAAATACCCGCCTGGGTCGGTCTACCCGAACCCGACAACCCGAACCGAAAAGCCCAGCCCATTTTTTAAGGGTTATGGGTTACGGGTAGGGTATTATAAATGCCTACCCGACCCGCCCGAAAACCCGATCTACCCTTAGTATATATACTTAATATTCTGCCCTAAACCCAACCCTACCACTTCACTACTTCAGCGCCTCCACTCTTCTGACTCTCTCCCCTACTCTGACTTCTCTCTAACCAAGTAACCATCGCCCATCGGCATCCAACATTCCAGCTTAACCACTCAGACACTCAGTCACTCTCAGTCACTCTCTGAGTCTGTGGAACCGTGGAAGTGTGGAACCGTGGAAGTGTGGAAGTGTGGTCGTGTGGAAGCCGATCGACCTTGTGGTCCTTGTGGATTTGTGGAAGCTTTCAAGTTGCAACCCATTCGATTATCTGAATTATTTGATCTTTCTGAGGTATAAATGTTAAATACTTAACTCAATGTTTGGTCATGCATCTTCCGATTTAAAAAAATGGCTTTGAAATATGCTTTGGTGGAAGTGTGGAACTGTGGAAGCCTGTGTGATGTGTTATCAGTTTTGTAAATGAATTAGTCATGTTATTTTGATGCACTATTATGTGTTTGGTGGAAGCTTGAAACCCTAGATTCGGAATGTGAAATCCTTTGTATGAACTACTTGTTTATCTGTGATGCCTCGATGATTCCTGTGCGATTGTGAGATTATATGAATGTATGATGTTGTGTTAATTCTGGTGGAAGCTTGCTGATATCGTTCCAGACTTTAATATGAATGTATGATGTTCTGTTCATTCTGTGATGCTTTGGTCATGTGACCCATGTCTGAGAATATGTGATTATGTCATTCTGTGAATACAAATTTGGTCATCAGAATTATGATTCTTTGATACAAATATTTTTTATAACCAATGATTTTTGATTATTGATTAATACAGTTTGCTGAGTAAAGAACTAAATATGATGGTTGATTTATTTTGAGTTTCTGACAAGTGTTAAAGTTGCCTTTCTCTACTCAAACACTCAAAGGAGTAGTTAGAGTGAACTGGCATCTTCTAAGTCTGTAGAGAAGTGAATAAGCCAACTGCTTATATCCTTCTGTAGATCAGCTTGCTGATTGTTCCAGACTTTAATGTGAATGTATGATGTTGTGTTCATTCTGTGATGCTTGCATTGAGTTTTTTGAACTATATGTTCCTATGACCTATCAGAATGGAAGTTGAATGTATGGATACCATACCTGCATCTGGTTCTCAACCTCCTCTAACTCCTGTTTCCCAAGGACCTGTGGTGGAAGCTAATGATGCTGGTCCTAACACCAGCACACAGCAGACAAATGTTACTGGAAATAAGAGAAAGGAGGTAGAGTCCAGATCTAAAATATGGGATCAGTTTGTTAAGATCAAAGATAGTAATGGTGTTGTTATCAAAGGAAGATGCATACATTGTGCTAAAACATATTGTTGTCAGTCTAAGAAGCATGGTACTTCTTCTCTTAGAAATCACATACTTGGTTGTATGAAATTGCCTGCCTCAAAGGATGCTAGACAAGCCCTTCTCACTTTCCAACCAGTCCAGTGTAATCCAACATCTGAAAACATTGGAGTGTTGGGGACTTGGGTGTTTGATCAGGGTGCAATTAGGAGAGCACTTGCTGAAATGCTTATCATTGATGAGCTGTCATTTAGATTTGTGGACAGACAAGGATTTAGGAAGTTTATCTCTGTAGCTTGTCCTAGGTTCCAAATTCCTTCCAGGTGGACCATTGCTAGAGACATCTACCAAATCTTCTTAGATGAGAAAGTAAGTCTGAAAAAGTTGTTTAGGGAACACACTCAGAGGGTCAGTATAACAACTGACACATGGACCTCTGTACAAAGGATCAATTACATGTGTATAACTGCACATTTCATTGATAATGAGTGGAAGCTGAATAAAAAAATAATTTCCTTTGTTCCTGTGACTTCCCACAAAGGAGAGTATTTAGCTAAAGCCCTAGAGTCTTGCCTGGTAGATTGGGGATTAAAATCTATCTTCACTGTGACTGTTGATAATGCTAGCAGTAATGACACTGCAATTGGCTTTTTTAAGAAGAAACTTTTATCTTGGGGTGCCTCTTCCGTAAAAGTTAAGTACCTTCATATGAGGTGTATTGCTCATATCCTTAATTTGGCTGTTCAAGATGGTTTAAAAGAAAGTGATTCTTCTGTTCAAAGAGTCAGGGATGCTGTTAAGTATGTTAGAAATTCTCCTGCTAGGCTTAAAAAATTCAAGGACATTTCAGATTTGATTGGAATGGAAACTAAAGCTGGATTGCACCTAGATGTCCCAACTAGGTG